ACTGCAAAGAGGCCAAAGGAGGCTTATGCTTCCTTAAATAGGGTGCAAAACCCCGGAATTTAGGGTTTCCTCTGCCAACTCCTACTCGTCGAGTCCCTTCATGGACTTGACGATTAGGTCACTAAACAAGCGTACCAAGCCCGTTGCTACTCGACGAGTAGGGCAACCAACTCGTCGAGTAAGCCTTGAAACCAAATAAATTCTTATTTAAACAATACCTGAGAATCGGGGCGTTACACATGGTTTCTTTCCCTATCAGAAAACTTTCCCAGACAACACTTTACCAGACAACACTTTCCCAGATAGAAACTATCAAACGGGACCTTATTCTGGTATCTTTTTTCATCATAGTTGTCTGCCTGAAGGTTGACACTTCTCTTTTTGGATCTTCACCTATTGAATATGTAAGTTTGACCATTTCTTGATAGATTATTTTTCTAAAATTCATGTACTTATAGCTTTTTCTTCATTTAATGTTTTCCAGGGACAAATCGAGCAATGAATTGATTTCTTTTCACTAGAATTCGACACAAATTTGTAAAATGCTTAATGCTTAGATTTGTTTATACTAAATATGTTAGCTCCGATTATTTACAGTTTACCAATTACTAATTTACCTTCTTTATTTATGACATCCTTTCTATAAGACTTCTTTTTAACACGCATTAAAGGTGGATGATGCTTCAATTGTTGGACTAAAGAGAACTCTTGGTGCCCTAAACACATATCTTGTCTCAAATACCTTCTTGGTTGGACACAACTTGACACTTGCTGACATCATCAGGATATGTAATTTGTACCTTGGTGCGGTGAAACAAACATAAGTTTTTTCAGCTATTGTTTTTTCCAAAAAAAAAAAACATCTCAAACAAAAGAGACTAAAAAAAAGGCCGAACCTAAAAAAGAAGAACAAGAAGTTCATACTAAAGTTGAAAGTAATGGTGATTAAGAAGAAGCACCAAAGTTTACATTTGTTGGTTCGTTGAAATGATTTCATGTTTTATTTTTGTATGCGTGATGTTAGGTTGCTGCTACAGCGAAAACATGTTAGGTTGTAAACAACATATTAATTTTTTATAATCATATAACATTTTTATTTTTTTTCAACGTATTTAGATCAATATCTAAATAAAACATGATAAGAGTAAATATAATTAAATGAACAATAAAGATTTTAACAAAACAATGTATTACACAATTTATATATGTTCTTTTTCATAAACTTTAAAAGTTTGCATATCATTATGAACTATTAGATAAAACTTTGAACATGAACTAAAACCAAAATAAACTATTTCAAAAATTGTAATGTCTTCCACTTCATTAAGAGTCATTTCATTTATTTTTATTTGTATTTCAAATAATAAAATGTTGTAGTTAAATGTTTTTAATAAAAATGTTTGGTGTGACCCAGGTAGATAACTATAGACAAGAAAAAAAGTCTCTTTGTCCATATCAAAATTAATAAATTTGGAGATGTTTTAAAAATAAAAAAAATATAAAAATGAAAATATTTAAAATTATATATACTCGCAATGCAGTTGTCCGGTTCAAACATAGATTAGGTAATCAACAAACATAAACCCCTTGCATAACCTTTTTTTAGCATTGCACTCTCAAAATTCTAGAAGACTAACCAATAATAGCATTGCAATTTTTTTTTCTGAAAAATTAACATTTTCAAGATTTCTTAAAAACTAACCAATTATAATATTGATGTTTAATATTTTTTTGAAAAACTAACCAGTTATAGCATTGCATTTTCATTTTTTTAAAAACTAACCGGTTTTTAGTATTATAGTTTTTGTTTTCTTGAAAAACTAACCAATAACCAAATTGCACATTCCTTTTCTTTTGAAAACTAGCTGGTTTAGCATTACACTCTCATATTTATTGAAAAACTAACCAATAGTAGCATTGCGTTTTCATTTTTTCCTTTGAAAAACTAACCGTTTTCAAGATTTCTTAAAAACTAACTATTGATGTTCAATATATTTTTTAAAAACTACCTGGTTATAGCATTGTATTTTTCATACCCTAAAAAACCAAGACTGACTGACAAACCAAAGCGGCAACGAATACAACATGTTTCCAAAACAAAATTATTTACCGGATTTTATTACCGAAAGGAAACCATCTAGGCTGCCGCTTTACGCGGGTACACCACTAGTTAATTAATAAAACATTATAAATTTTATTATTTAAAAATTAGAGTAAATTACATGAATGGTCCCTGAGGTTTAGGCTAATTTGCGTGCTTATCCCTAACTTATTTTTTTTTAACTCGGAAGGTCTTTACTGTTTGTTTTTGTTGCACGTTTGGTCCCTATTTGACCTAAAAAGACTATTATGCCCTTATTAATTTTTTTTAATTAGTTTTATTAATTGTGTGTTTCTTTTTTAATTTATTATTATAAATTTATAATTAATCTAGAAAATTACACACTTTCCATTTATCCCCATTACTCTTTCATCCAGGTTTCTTTCTTTTTCGAGTAAAATGCCATTGGAAAACAAAAACTACATCGAATCCATTCAAACCAAAAATCAGATCTAAAATCAAAAATGGATATCAAATCCAAAACATAAATCAAATCTAAAATCAAAGCTAAAATCAAAACTAGAATCGGTTCATTAAAGCCGAACATTCAATCTAATCGAACTAGAATGAAAAACACACATTTGGTTTAAATATATTTCTGATCTGATTTGTGGAAAAAACTAGGAAAATAAATATGGATGAAATATGGATATGACAGGTTCATCACTGAAGCTCGAGTAATAGAGACAGTTTCATTGTTAGTGAATAAAGATGCAAAGGTTACGGAAGGTGTAGGAGGTCGATTTTGAAAATCAAAACCAAAAGCCCCGGTGAGGGTGTAATAGCCTGTTACAGAGGTCAGATTAGTGAAGTTGCCTTCATCACTGGTTAGGGTGAAGGGTGATGGTGGTTGTTAGAGAAGGGAGAAGACTAAATGAGATTTTTCAGAGTCATCGGCATCTCCATTACTGTCCTAAAAAATCGACTCCTTTCGCTTACCATTCCTATTCATTGTTGTACGCATACCTAGGTCATAAAGGGGCAACCTAGATGAACTCTTGCTTCAAAATTGCCCACTGCTATCTTTGGAGGTCGTAGATAAAGGTTGGGTGTGTCCATGCTTCCACCATCATTGGTAATCGAAGGAGATCGTTGCTGACCTTGTGGAGTCACCCAAGGCATTAGAGTCATTTGAATCTGGCTTGACCATCGTTGAACTATATCTTCGATATCTGCAACATGGTTGTTGGCGGTAGTGGATTCTGATTCATGCAACAAGATTGTTGTCAATTCTTAGTCGATTTAGGGTTGAGTTTAGAGAAGAGGGAGGTCGTTCGTTTTGGGGAAAAAAGGTATAGAGGAGAAAGTGAGCTTTAAGGGTGGTTAAACATTTTTTAATAAAAATATAAGAAATAATAAAGGGTAAGATAATCTTTTTATGTTTGGTAGGTACCAAACGCACAATAAAAACATACTATAAGGACGATCCGAATTAAAAAAATAAGTTAGAGACCAAACGAGCAAAGTAGCATAAACGACATGGACCCTTGGCGTAATTACTTTAAAAATTATCAGTGACACTGACACATACACAATGGATAAACATATGGTGACTTTTTCCGTACGTAATGTAATCCACGTTTTGGCGGTGATTTTCACATAGAACACACACAAACAAAAGATCAAAACCCTCGTCGGTGTTGCTTGCTTTCCCAAAACAAATTCATCACCGAAACATTAATTTTGGGTATTTTTCCTTTTTGGGTGCATTTGAGTTGATCAAGTTTCTGCAATGCAAACCGTCGATGATGCACAATCTCCAAATTCAGGCGAACATGATGCCAATTCTTCTGCCATACGAAGAAACATCAAATTAGAGGACGATGTTAATCCTCAAGGAAGAAGATCGATCGGTGATTCCCGGATAATGGTGAGTTTTAAGTCGACATCTTCGTTGTTTACTCCGGCGGAGGTCGGTTTCGTTGAAACAGTTAGCGCCGGCGAGGAAGAAAAGATTCCGGCAACAAAACCGAAGCTGAATAACATAAGTTCCGAGGATCTTCAGTCGGTGATCGGCAATCCAAATTGCAATAAAAAATCAACAAGAGTTCAAAGAAATTGGGAGAAGGCAGATAGGGGAAAGTTCTTCCCTACGCTGTCTTACCATGAAATTGAGCAGGATTTTATCTATATCACTGGGAAGAAGCCACCGGGAAATCCCATGAAGCGACCTAGGGTTTCGCAGAATCAACTCAATGTAAGTGAATCGATGAATTATTCAAATTCTGAATTCTGATTAAAACCGAAATTCAAAGTTAATTAAACCTTTGTTTGAATGATTCTTTGCAGGCTATCTTTCCATGCCACTGCTTAGCGGAAGTTCATGCTGATCACTACAAAAAGAAAGACGATTGAAAGCTATGAAAAATCCTGTGGCTTTTTTTTTTTTTTTTTTTTTTTTTTTAAAGACGATTTATAATTAAAGTATTAAACCATTGTTTATAATTATATTGTTAAAATAGTTAATATAACCGAAGTTCAGCCTTTTGGAGCTTAATTTCGCAGGAAAAAACAAGAGCATATAACTAAGGTACCTTTTATTTGTAATTTGTCTTTCCTAGTTTAGGATCAAATTTCCATTTAATTTATTCTTTGTGTATTTATAAGATTAGCTTGTGTGTGTGTGTTTTGTGCTATTTGGGATTTTTTATGTTAAATGTTAGAAATATTTGGGTACCTAAAAACTTTGCTACATTAGAAAAATGGTAGGACCACACACCCTCGGAGCCATTTATGTCGACCCGTCCGCTCCAAGTTCCGTTTAGACTGGAGGGTATGGGAGGGATGTTTCCCTCACTTTTTGTGGGCCACACCACCATTTCCCTCACTTTCCTTTCCCTCACCTAAAACTCAAAGAATGGGTGGGAAGCTTCCCTCACTATTTTTTTTTTATTTTTTTATAAAATATATTTCATACATATATTATACTCATTTTGTAGGGAATTAAAAACTATGAATTTTGATATATTTTTTATATTTTTTTAGTAGGTATATAATTTTATAAATATTAAAATAGATAAAAAAAAATGAAAAAAAAGCCTGTCCAATAACATGAAGAGAGAGAGTGCGGCACCCCTCCCCCCACCTCTTTCCCGCGGGTTGCTTCCCTCACCCAAGGGATGGTGTTTCAGAGTGAGGGAAGCTTCCCTCACCCCTTTCCCGCTATGATACCGTCCGGCCTTAGAAGGTCAAGATGCTTCGCTTGCTATATTCGATATACTCTAAAAACTAAAGGCGATAGATTTCCACCGCTATTTCTAACCCTTATACTTTATCAAATGATGTTTTCCAACTTATATTTAGTAAAATGTCATTTTGATCCCTTCAACTTCAACGATATCTTAATATTTCAAGTCAATCAATGTCTACGATTTTTTTTTAATGTTTTAAATTGAATCAATATTTACTTTTTTTATGAATGTTTGAATTAGGGTATAAATGACCCGAACTACTCGTGAGATACTTGAGATCGACTCATTAAAATCTCGACTTGAGATTGAATTAAATGTGCCCGAACCAAGCTCGAGCCTAAATATGAGACTCGTTTACTAATCAAGGTCGATCCGAGCTTATATATACACATGCACACACACACACACACACACACCAGACATACACACACACATATAGGCTCGTTTAGGCTCACGAGCTCACTGAATTGTTCACGGGCCGAACTTGAGCTTCATTCTTAAGGCTCAAAAGGCCGATCTCGAGCTCGAGCTTCTTAAAAATTAAACCAGCTGAGCTCGAGCTTGGTCGAACTCGGGTTTGATTCGCCTCATTTACACCCCTAGTTTGAACCTAAAATTTATCTGAGGGTGAATGCTTAGGAAATTACAGCTAATAAGTGACAAATTATAGTTTGCAATTTACTTATCGACTATCATAGGGAAACATGATTTTACTTATCCAGTATTTATACATGATCATTACAGATAAATGTATATTTATTTTTTAAAAATATATCATTTTAACCAACTATTGCAGCATTAGCATGTTTACATGTTAAAAAACACCATTAAACTCAAATTTGTTGTTAAAAACACTATTGAACTTATATTTTCATACACCACTACCTTTTTACCTGGAATGATGTGGTGCAGAAGGGGTGGCTATGCTTTTTAATTGGATGGTTAAATCCTTTTAGTAGGTTCATGGCAGATTGACTCTCTCGAAGTCGGTTTTGGGTTCTCTCTAAACCTATTTTCCGTCTGTTTATAGGGCTTTGGTCAGTATACTTCATCAATTGGAGCAGTTGAGAAGTAAATTCTTTATTGGAGCAGAGTTGATTGAAAAAAAATCTATTGGGTGAGTTTAGAGAGGGTTATGGCTTCTAAAGATAGTGGTTGTTTGTGGGATAGTAGATTTTTGGTTTTAATATGGCTTTTCTTTATTCAAATGGGTGTGGCGTTTTTGAGTGGAGCCATATTCTCTTTGGGTCCGGATGGTGAAGTCGAATCATGGTTCTCATGGTTTCTTGGATAGGGAGTAACCAAGGTCTAAAACAATGTGGATAGACATTGTTAATGCTACTAGAGACTTAGGTGCTAAAGGGGTGTATTTTTTCTCTTGTTGTAAAAGGAAATTGGGGTGTGGTGACTAGACTTTGTTTTGGGAGGATACTTGGTTGGGTGATTATCCCTTGCAGGTTACTTATACAAGATTATATGCATTGAATCAGAATAAGATCATAGTTCTTATGAAGCTAAATCATAGTTTGATTATCACTTCTTTTCGTAGAGAGCCCATGGGGGTGGTGCTAAGGCAAAATAGGGTGATGCTCTCAGTGTGTTTTTGGCTTGAGTCTCCCTTTCTTCGGATCCTGATTCGCGGAGATGGGGTTTAGAAAGCTTGGGTGTTTTTTTGTTGTCTCAGCTAGAATATTGGTGGATGATTATTTGCTTCCTTCGAGTGATACAGTTACTATGTGGAACTCTCTTGGGCTTATTAAGGTTAATGTTTTCATTTGGCATTTGTCTCTTAATAGACTTCCTACCAGATTAAATATTTCAAGGAGAAGCTTGGAGATTCCTTTTCATTCAGTGTCCGATGTGTGAAGGTGGTTTGAATAAGTGCATCATATATTCTTCACTGATGGTGGGGTCTTAATACCTAATTATTGTTGTCGTTTGAGGATTGTGTTATGTGGTTTGATGGATTGATGCTTAAAAAGGGAGCTAAAGTGTTCTTGAAAGGGGTGTGCTTTGTCATGTGGTGACATCTTTGGAACTTCATAAACAAAGCCATTTTTTAGAAGGAGATACCTACGAAGGTGGATTTATTTGATAACATAGTCACTCAGACATTTTGTTGCTGCAATAATGGTCTAAGAACTTCATTAATTGAGTTGTTTGGTTTCAAAATCCAATGACGGTTATTATGTAACTTATTGTTCTTGTGTCTATCTTCTTGCTAGCTTTGTTTTAATATAATCTTTGATGTTTAATTTTTTTAGTGATTTTTTTATCTTTTCCGGCCATTATTAATTTTCTGATCCCATATTCATAGGGAAGAAACCTTGTGTATGTTTATATGGATTTTCTCTTGATCGGCCTTCAAAAGATTTAATGGATAAAGAAATGGGCCAACACCACTCGAGTTGCTAGGAGAGTAAATAGTTGCAAATAAGGACCAACTTGACGTGACATGTGGTGAGCCGTGATAGGGTCGTCATTGTCAGATATCCATATTTTTTTGCTTCCCTCTAAGGTTTCTGCAACTATAAATACAACTCTCTTAAGGTCGTATTCTACAAACCAAAAATCGAGATCTACTCTCCCTCTCTCTCTCTCTCTCTCTCTCTCTCTCTCTCTCTCTCTCTCTCTCT